ATTGTTTGGGGTACGACTTCCTTCCATTCTTTTTCATTTTTTTCATATTATTATTAATTGTTTAGGCGGGAGCTTGTAAAGGATGATTTGTTTTTATTAATTAATATAGAATATAAATATAGATTAATATAGAATATACATTACCAATTAAAATAAGTTTTTTTTAAACAAAATATTATATTGAAGAATAATATTACCAATTATTATTATTATTATTATTATTATTATTATTGTTGTTGTTGTTGTTGTTGTTGTTGTTGTTGTTGGTTCACATAGTTGAATTATTTATTTTTTATTTAATTATTATAAATATAAATGATATTTTACTAATTAATTTATGATATTTATCAAATTTTATTTTTTAAATATAGTGTTTTATCCATGCATTGCATGAAATTTTATTTTTGTTATTATGAATTTAAAATAAAAATAGAAAAAATAAAAAGATGTTAAAATGTACAATATAATAATATAGTTGGACTTTTATATATTTAGTCAAGTATCTATTTCATAACATACAAAATTTAAATTTAAATTTTGTATGGTTAATATATTCTCTAATCATGTACATATTTAGATAAATTTATAGAAAAAATTCATATAATTAAGTTGATTTATTCCAAATTGTATTTCATATGTATATATGAAATTTAAAAATATGAATAATAAAAACTAAGAGAATTGTACTTAAAAATCAATAAAAAAAAATGTAAATTCTAAATTTTGTATGAATAAATAAATATTCTAATCGAACGCATATCCTTATATGATTGTATAATACTTTGTATATACACATAATATTTATTAATATGTATATAGGAAAGTCCTATAATATAATTTCATTAATTATAATTTATATTGATAGATTTATACTTAAAAAATTATATTTAGAAATTTAAAGAGTATATGTATGTATATTTTAAAAAAAAATTATAAATATTCATGTTTTGTTAATTTTATAATTTCATTTCTTTAATTATATTTCATATTTTATTAATTATAATTTAATGAAAGTGTCACAAATATGTCTACGGAAGAAATCATATATTTCTCAATTTCATTAATTATATTAATTATTATTACCAAATATTATGGCAATTATCACAATAATTTCATTAATTATAACATTTGTTATCTTCCAATATTTAAATACATTACCATAAAATTACCATAATAATAACACAAAAGAAGGAAAGAAAAATTATGAGAATAATCTATATCTATATATAATTAAAAGTAAAATCCTCCTAACCAAGTTTATCCCCAAAACTTAGGGGCATATATATATATAAATTGCATATTTACCATATATGCATATTTTGTGTCTATATAGTATAATTTTTGGTATCAAACATTTGAATGGTAATAAACGGGGGAAAATGTCAACATACAAATGATAATTCTTTCATTACTATACTAATTTTAATGGTAATTCATTAATTACTATATTTCACGATGAGTCAGCCTGTTCATGCCCATCATTTTTCAAGAAACATAGAAATGAAATAGTCAATTATTAAAATTGTTTATGATTTCATTTTTAATTTTTGTCTAAAGTTAAAGATATATATTTTCGGCGATTATAACATTTTTTGTATTAACTGAAAATTTGAAAGTTTTACCTTTTTTGAGATCTCTTACCATTTTATAATTTCACTATTATGCGATTTTGAACTCATCCATGGTGTACAAATACACTCAATATGACCATGCAAAATCCATTGAGGAGACATTTGTACTGAAGAGTAAACTTCTCCTTAAACTAAATTCGGGTGTCAAGAAAATCTCCGTTTTCATTCATAATGATATTCCTATTTCTGAGTCTCTCATCACTGTTCGGTACATCAATAATGTCTAGATTTCTGGGTCTTCCATTGTTCCCTTTGATCCTTATGATTGTGCCATTGCCAGTATTTTTTTATTTGGGTTCAGTACAACGTGGATTTTTTTGGGAGGTTTCTCTAATTAAATTTTTGGTTAAAAATTTATATTTCCTTTGTATTTTATTTTATTACTTTTTTATTTATTTATACTAATATGTGAATGGAGTAACACAAAATCTGAAATTGTATTTGTTATTTATTTCTTCTTTTTAAATAATCATTATTTTTGTGTTTTACAAAAATTTAGAAAAAATCAAATATAGCGAGATTTTTAATAGGTTAAACAAACACTCTACTCAAATGATATATATAAAAATGCTGTGAAATGCTGTAAAATGAACTCTGCTTGGTAAAAAAAAAAAACATAGAAACTTGAATGGCATGTACAAATCTCGAAGTCAACATACTAACTCTAAGTTTAAAAAAATCTTACAAAATTATCGTCTTTATCATCCTCGATCGCATCTCTACAATCTTCCATAAAAACTAAACCAATAGGGTTCTGTTACAAATACTCTTCCTCCTCAATTTCATTTTGTTGAAGCAGAGCCTCCTTAAGTATCTTCAAACTCATACCAGATGATATGATATAAACTGCAAAACATATTGAAGTATGTGAGAATATAGTTAGAAAAATGTAGAAAATTCATAAAAAAAGAAAGCAGAGAGATGAGTCTGAGATTCTTTGATTGAAGAAGCCATTGTATTTATAGGTAGAAAATACTAATTCAAAAGGAAAGTATAATAATTTATTTATTTAAAGGAAAGTATAATAATTTATTTATTTAAGGTAATAACATTATTATTATTTATTTATTTATTTTCCATTTGACATTTACTTACCAAATAAGTTTTACTACAAAAGTTTTGGGGGGAAAATTTGTTAGGAAGATTTTACTTTTATATATATATATATATATAGATATAGATATAGATATAGATATAGATATAGATTTGTTTTCAAGGATTCGTCGTATCTTTTATATATACGGAGTATTTTTTTTTTTAAAATAAAATTTCAGATCTGAAAGAAATTAAAGCGCCATCGTCGATAATCTAACAAACAAAATAAACCTAGCACTCCACAGCAGCCTCAGCTCACACTCCCCCCCCCCCCCCCCCCCCCCCCCACTGGTCCACCGGTCCACCGCGTCGCACAGCCGCCGTCCACCGCGTCCCACAGCTGCTCGCCACTTGGATTTGCGCGAAATAGGCCGTCATTGGACCGAATTAGAGCGGAGATTCGAACGAGTCTTCGTATTGACGGTGAGGCGTAGGTTGGATCGGTGAATGCAGGAACGATTCCCATACGATTCTACACACTGCGCTCTGTGAAACTCAAACTTGGTTTGGTCAGTTAATTTAATCACTGCACATCATTTTCTTCATTCTTCACTTTACTTTCTTGCATCCTAGCTAATTGATCCTAATTATTATTCATTTTATATTCTGCTCTGTTCTGTATATATGTAGGTTTTTACAAATCTTATAGTTGATCCATATAAGATTATGATTAGTTTTGCATTATCATTGAAGGAGATTGGCCATGAATTCCAGGTAGTTTTAATTTGCATACAAAGTTGGGTGAATAAATTTGCATATATGTATCTCTAATGGTCTTAACATTATATATATTGTATGTTTATCTCTAATCTAGGTGCTCGCACTTGAAGATGGTCCTTTGAGTTCTGTATGGAGAAACAAAGGAATTTCTGTCAGTACCATAGATACTAATGGAAGTCTGAAAGTAGACTGGCTAAAGTATGGTCCTTTGAACTAAAGACTAGTGCATTGATTGTTTCTTGTTTTCTTTTGTTGAACACCATATGTACCATTGCAGAAATGAGAACATTCTTCTGTGAATTTAATTTTAGACTACATGAAATCGATCTGCTTGATTTCTATATACATCATCTATCTATCAAATTGAATTGAGCTAATTTCTTGTTAAGTAACTTTATTATTTAATGGTTTTATGTGCTGTTTGCAGCTATGAACTTACGATGCTGTGTTTCTGAACTCATTTGAAGCTATGGATATCCTGTCTTGGTAAGAAACAGATGAGAATATGTACTATATATATGGTGAATAGTTTTAGACAAAAAATGTATCTACAGAGGTGAGGCTAACTGCTTCTATGTAGGGTACACAAATTCATTAGCTTTAGTATAGTGAATGTGTGAACAGAGCTGAAGTTTGGATGCCATATTATCTTGACAATCTCTCCACTATCACCTTTGCTTGAGGAAAGTATAATCCATATCACCTCTAATACAGCTTTTGTTATTAATGTTCATTGTAGAGTTTCTACTACAATCCAATTCTCACCCATGTCCATATATTTCTTTAAACAGTAGTCTGCTTTTGTTGTGAGAATTCTCCATATATAGAAGTCTGTTGATTTCTGTTTGATGTTGCTATCATTTGATTTCTTCACATCTCTATTTCATTCCTACGTTTTTTTTTTTTTTTGCAACTGCATAATTTATTTAAACATCTAATTTTTTTCCCTTGCTTATCCCCTTAGGATTTGAGCTGACTGTGCTATGCAGGTGAAAAAGGTTGAAGCAAGAGTTGGCAGATGCGGAGACTCGCAACACCGACCTATACAAGGTAACTACTGCTGGCCTGCCACAATTTGAACTGAATATGGTTCCTCATTCTAGAGTCTGCCAGAATGAACCAGCAGGCTCTAAAATTTTGTAAAAGTGCAGATTGGGTGTTTATTATTGCCTCCCATATCAGCAGGAGCTAGATTTATTTATTTTATTTTATTTTATTTTATTTTATTTTATTTATTTTTTTAATCTTCTTCCTGATTATATTTCACAGAAAATTATTGAAATTTGAATTCTGTTTTTACTAATATGATGTTCGCAGATGGTGGATTCTACTACTCCGGCTCAGAGAAGTTTCCTCCATTCCCTGAGAGATTCTCAAAGAACTCTGTACTTATACTCCATCTCTCTCTGGCTGCACATGCAAATATCGTGTATGTCTAATGTGAGTACAGATCATGAGATATGATAATCTAGGGTATTTTGCTGGTGTACTACCCACATCACTGACAAAAGAGAAGTAGAGTTCCTCAAAGATTAGTGAAGTAAATAATGGCCACAAAAATTGGAGTCTTGACAATCAAAGGGTTAGAAGATATGTTGATGCCCATTTTGAGAAATTGTAAGAACATGGCCCACATGAAGAAAATACATTCCCAAGTGGTTAAGTTTTCATTAACACAAAGCAATTTCTTGGTGGCAAAAATGATAGATTTTTGTGATAAAATTGGGGCTATAGAATATGCTAGTTTGCTATTCAAGCATGTTGAAGAGCCAAACATATATTTGTTCAATTCTATGATCAGAGCCTACACACAGAAGCATATGTATGTTTCCTGCATAGATGTGTATACAATGATGATGAGACAACTCAAACGTGAAGATCCCATTTTTCCTGATTCATATACGTATCCATTTGTTATTAGGTCTTCTGGAGGCCTTTTAAGCGCAGATTTGGGTAAACAATTTCATGGGCATGTATCTAAATTTGGGTTGGAGTCCAATAATGTGATAGAAAATTCATTGCTAAATATGTATGTTAAGTGTGAGGAAATAAGTGAAGCACATAAGCTGTTTGAGGAAATGGCTATGAGAGATGTGATTTCTTGGAATAGTCTTATTTCTGGGTACATAAAGTTGGGTAAAGTTAGAAGGGCAAGAACCTTATTTGAAGATATGCCTGACAAGAATATTGTTTCTTGGACAACTATGATTTCTGGTTACACGAAAACCGGGTGTTATGGGGATGCATTAGATGTTTTCAGGAGAATGCAGATGGCTGGGGTGAAACCCGATTGGATCAGTTTAGTTGCAGTTTTGCCAGCTTGTGCACACCTGGGGGCACTAGAGGTAGGAGAATGGATTCACTTTTATGCAGCTAAAAATGGGTTATTGAGGAGGACTTGTGTATGCAATGCACTGATGGAAATGTATTCAAAGTGTGGTAATGTGAACCAAGCTTGGCAGGTGTTTAATCAGATGTCTGATAGGGATGTGATCTCTTGGAGTACGATGATTGGGGGTCTAGCAAATCATGGAAGAGCTCACGATGCCATTAGGTTATTCAAAGAAATGGAAAAGACCAATGTTAAACCGAATGAGATCACATTTGTTGGTCTATTATCAGCTTGTGGACATGCTAATCTTGTGGATGAGGGTTTGAGGTACTTTGATTCTATGAGAGATGATTATAAGATAAGCCCTGATGTCCAACATTATGGTTGTCTTGTTGATCTTCTTGCACGTGCAGGGAACCTCAACCGTGCTCTTGAAATCATAAGGAGCATGCCGATGAAGGCCGACTCTGCAATATGGGGTTCTCTGTTGAGTTCTTGCAGAACTCATCGAAATCTTGAAACTGCAGTCGTTGCAGTGGAGCATCTATTTGAACTTGAACCTGACGATACTGGTAACTATGTTCTTCTAGCAAACATCTATGCAGATATGGGAAAGTGGGATTGTGTATCAGCAATGAGGAGATTTATAAGGAGTAAGAACATGAAGAAAATGCCAGGCTGCAGTCTCATTGAGGTAAACAGTGTGGTTCAAGAATTTGTTTCTGGTGATAATTCAAAGCCATTTTCAAAGGATATCTATCGAGTGCTACAGCTTTTGGCCTTGCACCAGAGCAAAGCTTGTAACATAATTGAAACCACGAATGGGGATGAATTCTACGACATTCATTTTCTTTGATATTTATTATTCATTCTTCCATCACAACGATAGCCGAAGAAGTACTTATCAGTTATCAATGCAGAATCATAGTATGCTTGACATTGAAAACAAATTTTCCATTGAAGTGAATTCTGGCTGATAGAGAACAAGGATCATTGACTGAAATGTGTAAGTAGGAAAACACTTTTGCCCAAATGTGTAATGTGCATAGAGTATCTAGTTAAATTAATTTTGGAAGTTACATATACAACTTCACCTGCTTACCATTTTTTTTTTTTTTTTTCAAATTGTAAATACGTGCTCGTATATCATATTTTTTTCATGTATAAATAAATTTTGTGAAAGAGTATATACGTCTTCATAATTGATTGTGTTTCGTATTTTGTATGCATATAAATGCATTAGTCTAACGAGTAAACAACCAAATTTCACACCTCCCATACAAATGTACAATCATAACCTTTGAGGTTTCTGCCTCTACAACTATTCATTGTGTGCATTATAGAATAGAGTAAATAGTCTTCAATTTTAACATTTATTTTAAATTTCCCATTAAAACATTGATAATATCTTTCAGTAAATGTGTTTTATTGGAGTATAAAAATCCCCCTTTATCTCCTATATTCATTGGCGCAAAGTAAAAATTTGTAGGTACACATTAATAATACCTTTCACTAAATCTTGTTTTATTGGAGTATAAAACCCTCTTCATCTCCAATATTCAGTGGTGTGAAGTAAAAAAATTGTAGGTGTTGGTTTTAGGGGTTTTGGGTCCAAGGAGGTCCAATACAACCGATGGTTGGTGGATTCACCATCTAGAACAAAGATAACTACAACTATCAGAAGTGGCTTTGGAAAGTGTGCGATCTTATTTTTCCGGCTATTCTTTGGTGACTTCAGCCTGTGCTTTAGAAATAAAGAAAAAAAAACATATTGTAGATGCGTGGTGAGCACACTTGTTGTGCTTAATTGGCCAAGTTAGGTGCGTAACTATCAAATTTTTTATTTTTTACTTTTAACTGACTTTTTTTGTAGTTAGTTTTTTTTTTTCCCTCATTTTTCTCTTCACTCCCTTCTCCCTTTCTTACATGTAACTGACAAAAACCAACTCAAAAACCTAAGAACATTCCCATTAGTAGTTTTTTTTTTTTTTTTTGGGAGCCAAATGTGAGGTGGAAGAGAGGAAGAGCAGAGAGAAGGTTTGAGGTGGTTGCAGTAGGAGTTGGTTTTTTTTTTTTTTTTTTTTTCAATGGGCCCCATCCACCAAAGAATAAAAAACTGCTGCAAGTGCTTGTGAGGCCGCAAATTATGCCCTGGACTCGTGTCGACAATGCATTGTGGACACGAGTTCAAAATGACGTCGTTTTCAGGGAAAACGCGTTATTCCAGTTAATTTTTTTTTTTTTTTTTTGATTTTGTCTCGCCGTTAACGGCGTTATTCGTTTGTGCCATTATGAATGTACAATTATGCGATTATGAATGTACAGTTATGTAATTATGAATGTAAGTTATAAAATTATGAACACAGAGCTCTGACATTATGAACTTACAATTATGAACATATAGTGATAAAATTATGAATATAGAGCTCTAAAATTGTGAACATGGAGGTTCAAAAATTATGAATTTACAGTTATTGAATTATGAATGTACAATTACGGAATTATGAATGTACAGTTATGCAATTATGAATGTACAGTTATGAAATTATGAATGTACAGTTATGGAATTATGAACACAGAGCTCTGACATTGTGAACTTACAATATTAACATATAGTGATAAGATTATGAACATAGAGCTCTAAAATTGTGAACATAGAGTTTCGAAAATTATGAATTTACAGTTATTGAATTATGAATGTACAGTTACAGAATTATGAATGTACAGTTATGCAATTATGAATGTACAGTTATGCAATTATGAACACAGTGCTCTGACATTATGAACTTACAATTATGAACATATAGTGATAAAATTATGAACATATACTCCTATAACAAAGTGGTCTGAAATTCTTTTTTTTTTTTTTTAAAAAAAAAAGTGGAAGAGAATAGTGCCTAACGGCACCGTTACCGTGTCCAGCATGCATGCTGGACACAGGTCCATAGCATAACGATTGTTGTGAGGCGCAACAGAGCTCCACGCGCCTGTTGGACGCATTAACCATATCATCTTTTTTTCCTTTTCTCTCCCTCCCTCTCTCTTGCTTAACTCCTAAAAATTTGTGAATAAACTATACTAATGTGGTTGCTCTAACAAATGAGGTTGCCCTGTTTAACTTTGGAAAACTTAATTAAGTTGATCATTATTACCAACTAAAATTACAAAATGGAGTTTATATGAACACATACTCTCGAGTAGTGATTACAATTTTTCCAATCGATGACACTAATTATATATACTCTTCTAATGTATAGTATTTGTCCCATTTCCATCATCCTCTACTGTAAACAATACGGGACAAAGACAGAGAGGCAATAACATAAAGTCAAGCAGTGCCATCCAATTAGCTGACAACCTAAACAAACTTTCTGTATTGGATTTAGGTATGATATTTTCGTAAGTGGACAACATGGCTATATTATAATATTAGCAGTGACAGTGACATTAACTCATTAATAATCTCCATTACTACCTACCGGCTTTACAATACACATTATATTAGATGGCGTGTGGAGATTAGTATTTCATAATGACCCATTACTTGGCTGCCTTCGTTGAATCTTTCTTTTTGTTGACTAATGGCCTTGTAATTTTGATTTCTTTAACCACAGCTTTCCTTTCACATGCAGGATTTATCTAATCAACTTGTTTCTTTTTATCATTTTATTTTTACTTCCAAAAAAAAATAATTAATATATATTGACCATGTTTGGTAAAATAGTTAGTCTATCAGTCAATTTTGTCTTATTTGACCACTATTAATTGTTTGACTTGGTTAAAAAGTCAATATTTTTTGGGTTAATTAGCTTTTTGTAACTCCAAAATGTTAAAATTCAAAAAGATGTTCAAAACAACTTTTTCAATTAACTTTTTGAGAAAAGAAATTATACCAAATAGCTATCAGCTAACAGCTAATTTACCAAACATTTTTTCTACAATCAACTAAGGGTCCGTTTGGAAAGCAGGAAAATGACTTCTGGAAAATGAGTCATTTTTCGGAAAACATTTTCCTTTCCAGTGTTTGGTTACATTTTGGAAAACTGTTTTTGTGTGTTCGGTTCATTTTCTGGAAAATGAGTAGAATTGTATAATTAAACATTTTAATTATTTTATTTAGAATATTACAACATGTATAATAATATATAATAATATAATAATAATTTTAAATATAACAAAAAAACAAATAATATATCAAAAATATTATGGTGATGGTGGTGTAGTGGTAGTGGTGTTATTTGTTATATAATAATAATAATAATAATAATAATAATAATAATAATAATAATAATAATAATAATAATAATAATAATAATAATAATAATAACTAGTGGTGGTATGACGGTGGTGGCAGTGTGGTGGTGGTGGTGGTGTGGTGGCGGTGGTTGCTGTGGTATGGTGGTGGTGGTGGTGGCGGCGACGACGGTGGTTGCGGTGGTATGGTGGTGGTGGTGTGGTGGCGGTGGTTGAAGTGGTATGGCGGTGGTGGTGGTGGTGGCGATGGTGGTTGTGATGGTATGGTGGTGGTGGCGGCGGCGGTGGTATGGTCGTCGTGGTGGCAGCGGCGGTGGTGGTATGGTCGTCGTGGTGGCAGCGGCGGTGGTGTGATGCTGGTGGTGGTTGCGGTGGTATGGTGGTGGTGGCGGCAACGGTGGTATGGTGGTGGTGGTGGTGGCGACGGTGGTGGCGAGGCGGTGGTGGTGGCGAGGCGGTGGTGGTGGCGGTGACGGTGATATGGTGGTGGTGGTGGCGGCGGCGGCGGTGGTGGTAGTGGTGGTGGTGTGGTGGTGGTGTGGTGGCGGTGGTATGATGGTGGCGGTGTCGGCGATGATGGTTGTGGTGGTGGTAGTATGGTGTTGATGATGTTGGTGGTGGTAGTGGTTGCGGTGGTATGGTGTTGGTGGTGGTAGTGGTGGTGGTGTGGTGGTGGTGGTTGCGGTGGTATAGTGGTGGCGACGGCGGCAGTAGTGGTGGTGATGGTGGTATTGAGGTGGTGGTGGTATGGTGTTGATGATGTTGGTGGTGGTGTGATGTTGGTGTAAATGTTGGAAAATGACTTCCCCCAAAAAAAAGGGGAAGTCATTTTCCTCCAAAACAAGCCTATTTTCCAAAGTCAACGGAAAATGATTTCCGTTGACTTGATTTTCCAGGCACATCCAAACAGTGAAAACTTGGAAAATGATTTCCAGAACTCATTTTCCAGGTTTCCAAACACACCCTAATGTTATCAAATAATTATACACTATAATTAACTCAATCAGCTAACCGTAATAACTATCAGTTAATAGGGCTATTGTAAATTAAATTCGAGTAAAAATATAATATATGTTCATACTATATGTTAGAGTCGGTAGAATAAGATTTTAGGGTGTGTTTGGGTCGTAAATGGGAATCGAAATCAGAATGGTAATCAAATATTTGGTAATGGTAATCGATTTTGATGAAAGTATTTTGCATGTTTGGTAGTAGGGTGGAATTGGAATGATTACCAATATTGCTGTTTGGTTATTTATTATCCTATAATGGGAATAAATGTTTTAAAAATACAAGAACAAAAAATCAAGACAATTTATTCTAATATAAAGACATCCAAAACACCAATATGAATAAAAAATAAAAACAAAAATTTAAAAACACTAATCCAAACTTAAAAATCAAATTACCAATTAGGAGGTGGATGTGGAATAATGGAATAAAACTCTTATTTTATTAGGGAATGAATTTTCTAATTAAGGGGGTAATCGAATCTCATAATAATGTTCTAGAAACTTGTCAACCAAATTAAACAATAACAATGACTTTGATTCTCATTCCTGATAGCTAAATCCATGAACCAAACACACCTTTATTTTTTATCAAATTAAAATACAAAGTAGGCATTGTGCACTGTAGCACAAATGAGAGTAGGAAGTCAACCATGTTAGTTGAACCTCTCTGATATTGGAAAATATCGTGATATAAATGGTAACAGAAGTGAAATGAGATGATTTATGAGAAATCGAAATTAATTTTTAAAATTTTCTATTTGGAGGGAAAATATGAAAACGGGACTCTATAGCCTGTTTTGGCAAAAAAAATAAAAATAAAAATACAAGGTTCATTGGAGTAGAATTTTTTACACGATTATAAAGATTCATAAATTAACCGAGCTCTTCCAAAATATGCATATAAATAATAAATAAGCTCATTAGAAGGCAAATTATTATTTAGAACATAAATACAAAGTACATTTTTAATATGTTAAAAGTGCATTATTTTTGTACTCAATGTACATTATTTAATAATATATAAAATAATGTACTTTTAGTATATTAAAAATATACTTTTTATTTATAGTCCATAAAGTTGTATGGACCATGAAAAATTATATCGTACACCAGGCGCACAATGCCAAAACGACGTCGTTTTTCGTTTTTGCCATTAACTTTAAAAAAAAAAATCTTTATTTTGGATGTACAGAATTGTATAGTAGAATACACATAAATTCCTAACATAATACACATAATCTAACATAATACATAATACACATAAACTCTTAACATAATACAAGAAATTCTTAACAAAATACACATAAAACACAAGTGTTAAAAAAAAAATTGACATAATACCCATAAACTCTTAACAGAATACACATAAAACACAAGTGTTTAAAAAAAAAAAAAAAAAAAAAAAACTTGTAACGAGATTGAACGGACAAAATGATGTTCATCGCGTTAATTTCCCACACAACTTATAAAAACGACGTCGTTTTGGATTAGGACGTACATTGTAATAATTATGTTGTACGATATAACGATTGATGGTCCATGTAATAATGTTTGCCATTAGAGGGTGATACTATTTAAGTGGAACAATATGTGATTATATCATGTCACCTAATTATTAATCTCAATAATACATGCGTTCAAGCCTGTTACATAAAAGTCACGTGGAATTAGTTGGATGTTACCCTCACTGAAACTTCTTTTTGTTGACTAATGACCCAGTAGTTTTGATTTCATGAACGTAACCCTAATTTGAATTTTCCAGCACACAAACGATTTATCCAATTCTAATCCACTTGCATCTTTTTTTTTTTTTTTTTTTTTTTTTTAATTATTTTATATAGAAATTAGATTGACTCTTTCTAATCAACATGTTGATATATAGAGATGGTGGATAACGTTTGATAAGATTATTTCAAGGTTTGCACTCTAAATTAAAGGGTCCATACCAATCTTTATTTTAGAACTAAAATAGAGTGATAACTCTCAAGATGTGTTTGAACCATTTTAAATTTTCAAATCTTCATATATGTAACTCGATTTTACTTTAGAATAAATAAACTAATTAAGTGACAAATTGGTAGTTGAAATGCGTTTGGTCCTCTAGTTATATTCGTAGTGTAGACTTAGATCTTGATTTATATGTCTAACTATCTTTAATTTAATCCTTAAGTGACGCATATAACTCGGTGACTAAATCTGGTCCACAAATATAACTACAGGACCAAACATGTAATTTTCCCTAAAATTTATATATTTAGAAACTATATTAAAAGTAGTATTAAATGGCTAAAAACTAATCGACTTGTTGCATTATAAATACTTTACGTACCACGTTTGTTGCCCCAGGAGTCATCTGATTGTCACTCAGCATAAAATTTTGATGTCTATGCAAAGTAGAGCATTTAAAAAACCGAAAGGCGGTTGACATTTATGCAATAATTCCTGAACAATTTGAGATATGGGGAAGCACTTTTGTTCAAGTCTTGGTCTTTATCAAATTAAAAATAAAAAATAAAAAATACATAGTATGGGAAATTTGATGTATATATGTGAACGAATATATAATAATAATATAATACAACGTAAAACATTGAAGAAGGGCGGGTAGTGGAGGGCATCTATGAAAGTTGACTTGTTATTATATCTCAACTCTCAAGACAAGGTCAAACACCAAGGAGCTGAGGGTTTTGTCAGAAAATTAAAGCAGAGTTCTCAAAGGGTGTATTGTATTATTGGGTTTGAGCCTTTGAGGTGTTAGTTGTCTAGTTTTTCATCAAACAACGTTGTTTCTTGAGGTTGCATGGTTTAATTTGTGTTAAACAATATAATGATCATCCTCCCAAGAAGAATCTGGTTGTGTTTGTTGTCTGTGTTGATAAATTTCTTGGTTGTAGCAGCATGGACGAACCCAGATGATGGTAAGTTGTTTGTATACTATACTCATAAACTTGTGTTAGTTGGTTCATTATATTCTTGAAGTGAAGAAAAAACTTTTTTTTTTTTTTTTTTAAAAAAACTCTTCTTTTGATTCATTCAGTGGCTGCTCTAAACTCTCTCAAATCTGAGTGGGAAAATGTACCACCCAATTGGACCGGCCAAGATCCTTGTGATGATCATTGGGATGGGATTCAATGCAGAAATTCCCGCGTCGTTGGATTGTAAGAATCTTCCCAACTTTAATTTATTACCTCTTCTTCTCCATTACTTTTTGAACTCCATTAAGGTTTTATTCTGCAATTATTCTTAATTCCAGAACCTTATCAAGCATGAGTCTGCGTGGTGGGCTATCTGGAGACATTGCTGGGTTATCAGAGTTAGAGACCTTGTAAGTCTTCCATTCTTCTTGGTTTCTTAGATGCCGAGGCAGAGGGAAACCCGCAGTAGTCACTACCTGAGGGTGTGCACGGGGTAAACTCCTGCCTTGTAATGTAAAGGACCCGAATGAGGTAAACCAGCTGACGGTGTGCGCTAGATCTAAGGGATGAGAAACACTGATTACCTCAGCCTTGTGATTCTAGCCGGTACTGAGGTAAACCAGTCTAGGTTGCCCATAGTTAATCGGTTCAAACCAATTAAGAGGGATGGGATTTGAACTGGTGACCTTGTGGTTATAAGTTTGTATCCTTAGTCATCTTGGCTGGGGTTACTCCTGTTCTGGTTGGTTTCTTGTTACTCCCTAGTCGAGTTGCCAAAACCAATCTCTAATCAACTGCTTTTTCTTATAGGGATCTATCATACAACAAGGAATTGACAGGTCCTCTTCCTCAAGCCATTGGAAACCTGAAAGCATTGTCAAACTTGTAAGTAATTAATTGGATTTTACTGCAGTAAATAAAATTGTAAAGAATTGGTTCTATCATAAGCTGATTGCTCATTACTGCAAAACAGGATCCTTGTTGGTTGCGGGTTTTCTGGACCAATTCCAGACACAATAGGATCTCTGACCGAATTGAGATTTCTGTAAGGACTATCACCTTATCTTATTATTTTCCCTTTAATTTCCTTCAAGTTGTTAATATAGTTGGTAGTAACAACATTTTACTTGTTGCTTATATAGTTGCTTCCATTTAACACCATATACAGGATGCTACAAGAAAATTGTCAATATATGAACTTTCATAGTGTTACACTAGTAGGCCAAATTGAAGCATGTGCTCTATCCCAACTAAAAGCCTAAGCTAATAGTTGGACTGCACATTTATGTTTATAGATATTATATGCTCAACAGGACAGATTTCTTATTTCTTTGTGTTATACATACCTAAAGGACTCCATTCGATGCTATGCAGATCGTTGAACTCAAACAAGTTTGTCGGCACAATACCACCATCCGTTGGTAAATTGTCAAAACTCTATTGGCTGGATATGGCCGATAATCAACTTACCGGAACTCTTCCAGTCTCTAAAGGGGACACACCTGGTCTTGATATGCTTCTTGATACAAAACACTTGTATGTATATATCATCCCATCCTTTTCATTCTATATTCGTTAATCTCTTCGGGTTTTGATCTTTTGGATATATCAATAACTTTGCAGTCACTTTGGAAAGAATCAACTTTCTGGCGAGATTCCAGCTCAGCTTTTCAACTCAAATATGAAACTTATACATTTGTAAGTTCCATTGATCCAAATGGCTGTTAGCTGATAGCTGTTAGTTGTTAGCTGATTGGGTTAATTAGAGAGTATAACTAGTTGATAACATTTGCATTCATAGAAAATGGTTTCCTTACGTGTTATATATTATACTGAGCAGGTTGCTTGAACAAAACAAGCTTACTGGAAATATCCCTGAAACATTAGGGCTTGTTACGCATTTGGAGGTCGTGTAAGTATTTCGGTTTCCTTTTTCAGAATATACTCCGTGTTATTTGTTAAGTGTGCACTCGTTATGAACGAACTGATAGAAATACGAAAATCGTTGGTTGCAACAGTCGTCTCGACAAGAATTTGTTGAAGGGGCCCGTTCCATCAAATCTCAATAACCTCACAAGTGTCAATGAATTGTAAGCAGACCAAAGTCTATATATGTAACCGATTGTCTGCTAGAAAGTCGCCTTTATACAGCGATTTGATTCGATGTTTTCTTTAACTTTGTGGGCTGCAGATACTTGGCAAACAATGGTTTTAGTGGCGCCTTGCCCAATCTCACTGGCATGAATAACCTCAACTATCTGTAAGATTCACAATTAAGTAAACCGTTGCTAATATCTCTTTTTGTCCAACAAAAAGATTGTAAATGTTGCTTTTAGTTGAACCGAAATGATTTTCCTAATCAAATGTTTGATAATATTGCAGAGATATGAGCAATAACTCATTTGATCCGACGGACTTTCCATTGTCGTTGCAAACCTTACAGTCTCTGACGACATTGTATGTATCTCTTCTCAGTTTTTCTCTCTGTATGGGGTTCCTTAGCTTGGTCGTATTTCAATTTCGGTCCATATATCTGTCCCTGTCTATTTCTCTAAGCATGAACCTCTTTTGCTAACTGTTAAGAGTCCACATTGATAAAAATAAGAGAGAACATATGAGTTAGACTAACTAATAGGTTGGATTCAATCTTTTAGTGTGGTTTGACCCATGTGCATTATAGCCCAATTGAGTGATCTTAGCCCAATCTTAGATTATAATACAAACATTGTACTTGCAGGGTGATGGAAAATACAGGACTACAAGGACAAGTTCCTGCTGCCCTTTTCAGTCTTAATCAGTTGCAGAATGTGTGAGTGTCCTCTTAATTTATTCTTCCCTTCAGTTAATGCCCGATGAGAGAGGAAATTCAATTCAGTTTCAGAAGATAGGAGTTACAATACTATATATATGTGACTCGTATAAATGTATACTCTTCCTTTGTCTCAACTGATAAAAATTCTACATTCGAAATTTCAAATTAATGACTAGCGGTTTGTTGTTTAATCGCAGCATCTTGAGCAAGAACAGACTTAATGGCACCCTGACCATTAGCTCCACCTACAGCCCCCAACTGCAACTCATTGATCTCCGAAACAACTTGATTGAAGCGTATACACAGAGACCAGGAATCGGTTTCCAGATCATGTAAGTTTAACGAACTTTTGTGTTCCTTCTTAAGCCAAGTGATTGCCTATTTACCAAACGTGTGCTGCTGTGTAATGATCCTGCTCAATTTGATTTTCTTCGTTTTGCAGACTTGTAAAAACCCCATATTGCGACGGAGGAGGCATGGCGAGTTACTGTGTTGTACCCCAGCCTAAATCCCCATATTCAACTCCAGCTAATTGTTCGCCTCGTAAATGCAGTGCTGGCCAAATATCGAGCCCTAACTGTCAATGCGCCTATCCATACACGGGAAACATATTTTTCCGAGCTCCTTCCTTCTCCAACTTGGGAAATGCTACCATATTCGAGACGCTTCAAGGGTCTTTGATGCGCGCTTTCCTGTCTCATCAACTCCATGTAGATACGGTTTCCCTGAGTGATCCAAAGAAAAATTTGGATGATTACCTTGTGGTACACTTGGAAGTTTTTCCATCTGGCCAGGATTATTTCAACCGAACAGGAGTTTCTGGAGTTGGGTTTGTGCTTAGCAATCAGACTTTCAAGCCACCCAAAGAATATGGACCTTTCTTTTTCATTGCGGAGGGCTATAAGTATTTTACAGGTGACACAACATTTTAAGTTCACATATTTTCTCAAACATTATTTATTGTCTTGCACAATTCATATTTATGTATATGTTCTATCAACCAGGTAGTGATTCTACAGAATCAGGCAAGTCTTCAAGTACTGGCATTATAATTGGAGCAGCAGTTGGTGGTTCAGTTCTTGTGATTGTATCACTGATTATTGGGGTCTACGCTTTCCGCCAAAAGAAAAGAGCTCAAGAAGCTACTAAAAAGAGTGATCCTTTTGGTAAGATAAAAAATTACTAATGCTGCCCGTACAGGCTTAGCTTACTGGTTCAGTAAACACTATTTGAGAGAAGAGATCAGATTTGAAACAAACTCGGCAATGGCAGTGTGAGATTATGCCCAAAGTGGGCAAATCTTTGTGCGCACAAACAGTTGGCCCTGTCTGCTGAGCCACTGAGGAATTACTAATACTGCCCGTTTAGGCTTAGCTCACTGGTTCAATAAGCAATATTTGGGAAAAAAGATCGGGATTATGCCCAAAGTGGACAGATCCTTTGTGCGCACCAGCATTTAGCCCTCTCACGAGGAATTACTAATGCAACTTGATGTTGTTACTTTTGTCTGTCTTTAAATTCTCACAATTTTTCTCATATATGATGCAGCATCCTGGGATCCTGCTAAAAACAGTGGTGGTGTCCCCCAGCTAAAGGCAGCAAAATGTTTCTCATTTGAAGAGCTTAAGAAATGTACAAACAACTTTTCAGAAACCAATGATATAGGATCTGGTGGTTATGGAAAGGTCAGAATCAGATCTCTCCATCAATTCCTCTTTCATTATTACAATATTTGTCTAGAAAACCATGTTCTAAAAAACAAATTAAATATCAAAGTATTTTGTGATAACATTTCAGGTATACAGAGGAAGCCTTCCTGGTGGGCACCTGGTTGCCATAAAAAGAGCTCTACAGGGATCAATACAGGGTGCCCCAGAGTTCAAATCTGAGATTGAGCTTCTCTCTAGGGTTCATCACAAGAATGTTGTTGCACTGGTTGGGTTTTGTTTTGATCAAGGTGAACAAATGCTGGTGTATGAATATATTCCGAATGGCACACTTAAGGACAGCATCTCAGGTACTTTGAAGTTCAACAATGGAAGTTTTGGCAAATGTCAAAGATACCAAGAAATCATCACATGTTGTGTTGTATTTGCAGGAAAGTCTGGAATCAGATTAGATTGGATGAGGAGACTTAGGATAGCTCTTGGATCAGCCAAAGGGTTGCAGTATCTGCATGACCTCGTTAACCCGCCCATCATCCACCGCGACATAAAAACAAATAACATTTTGCTGGACGAGCGGTTGAATGCTAAAGTTGCGGATTTTGGCCTCTCCAAGTCCATGGGTGAACCCGAAAGGGGTCATGTCACCACTCAAGTTAAAGGAACAATGGTAAGTATAGACAATGTTGTAAAAGACGCTAGGTGCCTAGGCAGCTGAGTAATAATAATAAGAAAAATAACATACAAAAAAAACACTCAGTCGAGTTAGGCGCCGAGTTGACCAACTCAGGCGCCTAGTTTGGCCGACTTAGGCGCCGAGTTGGCCTATTCGGGTGCCTAGGCCGCCTAGTCAGCCAACTAATGTCTGCGTAAGGGTAAAATCCCCTCGGCCTAGGGGCGCCTAATTAGCTGTTCTAGCTGACCAGTCATTACTTTTACTGATGCAGGGCTACTTGGATCCAGAGTATTACATGACAAACCAGCTAACAGAGAAGAGCGACGTTTACAGCTTTGGAGTGGTGCTGTTGGAGCTGCTTACCGCGAAAGTTCCAATTGAAAAAGGGAAATACATAGTTCGGGAAGTGAAGCAAGTGATGGATAGGAGTAAAGAAATGTTTAACCTTCACGTAGTTCTCGACCCAGCCATTCGCTCTAGCGCAACACCCAGAAGCGTCGAGAAATACGTGGATCTAGCATTGAGGTGCGTCGAAGAATCAGGAGTGCACCGGCCAACAATGAGCGAAGTGGTGAAAGAGATCGAGAACGTGATGGAGATTCTCGGGCTGAACCCTAATGCTGAATCTGCATCAGCTTCAGAGAACTATGAGGGATCAAGCACAGGCTTTCAGCATCCTTACAGTGATCAAAGCCTCTTTGTTTACAGTGGAGCCTATCCTCCTTTAAGCTTAGAGCCCAAGTAAAACAAACACCACAGATCCTGCATCTATATATGGCCTTGTGGCCTGCTTTTCTGCCATGTTTTGTATATTTTAGGTAAAAACAGATGGAATTTGTTAAATCTTGAATTTCTTGCCCTCATTTTTGTATATTTTGTGTTGATGAAATGGAAATGAATACCCTTTGAAGAAACAGAAACCTGTTTATTAAATTCATGATTTGTGCAACCAGTGTATAATACATTAATACAGATTATATATATCCTAAGATAATCAGTTCGGTAGTACCAGATGGCCGTTTACTCTAAGGCTTTCCACCGTCTCCCGAACAGCATCTTCAACCGGAGTAAAAACAAACCCTAAAGCGATAAGCCTTTTCGCAGCATCTTCACAAGTCACCAAACCTGGTTGCGTTTCGCCTGGAAACCTGTATTAAAAAGAACTAAACACATAAACATTTGGTACCCATGACCTTTGGCATGGCTCTGATACCAAATTGAAGCATGTGTTCCATCTCAACTAAAATGTTAAGTTAATAGTTGGATTGCACATTAATGGTTATATGCTCAACAGGACAACATTGGAATTGTGGAAACAAGACAAACCTGTGTACAGGGAACTGAGGGAAAAGTTTTGATACCCTCTCAGCAAAATCACCAAACTGATAAATGCCATTGGTACAAAGGTATCTCCCGGAAGCACGAGGATTCTCGAATAGCAGTATTTGAGCCTTTGCCACATCTTCGACGTGCACAGCTCCCAGCCAGTGATACTCTTGCGTATCTTTTGATCCCCGAAGAAGCTGTTGCAAAACGGCACAGCTCGCATTTAATCCAGGTTGCAAAAGTTTGCCAAGACATGTAGCCGGATTAATAGCTACAACATCTAATCCGTTCTTCCCTGCAAACTCCCATGCCGCTTTCTCGGCCAATGCCTTCGATACAGGATACCATTTCTGTCAACCACAGCAGATCTCTCAACTATGCTTAAAACCCCGCCATTCCCCGCCCCTTAACAAAATGAATGACTTTTTCTGCCTATAGAAGGCAAAACATCTCTGTCTTTCATTACATTTTCATAAACTGTGATTTCTTATTATTCTAAAGCTTATACTAGCTGCCCTGTATATATCCAACATAGTTTGAATATCTAATGCTATATCTTAAAATTCCTAATAGAAAAGCACTACCGGTTAACATGGATTGAATCAGATGAGTACCAAATTTCAATCTTGAAATTGCTACTGTTGGGGGTAAGGTTAAAAACGAGTGTTATATGTGTCCTGACCAAACCGACCCGATAAGGCGGAACAAGGCAAGCCCGACCGGCCCCAGGACTGAGCCCAGTGCTCGGCTTGCTCGGTCTCGGCTAGGTCAAGGCCCGGCTGCCTAACCGCTCAGTACATAAATTGTGAACATTCTATATATAATTGTGAACATTTAATTTATAAATTGTGTATTTTTAAATTCGAGTTTACCACCCGGGTCCACAGAATAATTTGCCACGGGAGGCCAGGTGGTGCATGTGAACTTGGAAAGGACCCTAACCGCTCACCCTTTTCTCGTTATGAGTCAAAGTTTAATTAGTATAATTTTCCTCATAGTTATTTCGTTAAGACACAATTTTCTCTTGTAATCATCTTACACAAGTCCTTAATACAAATCTTTACTTATCTTACTCAATATTTTGTCTTTATTTATTTATAAATCCTTGGTTTAATTAATTCCGACAAAAAAAAAAAAAAAAAAAAAAAAAAAAAAAAAAAAACCCAAATTGTATTGCAAGATAAGGTGAAACCTGGCGGGATTTGCAGTAGTCAAGGTCGGTCCAGGAAGACTCGTCGAAGACCTTGTTGGTTGGCCAACCGGGATTGGGCACCAAGGCGGAGATGGAGGAAGTGAGTACGACGCGCCGCACGCCGAACCTCTTCGCCGCCGCGAGCACGTTGAGAGTCCCTTGAACGGCGGGCTCTACCAACTCCTTCTGGGGGTCCACGGGGTCCTCGAGCGTGCACGGCGACGCCACGTGGAACACGCCGCCGCCGGCGCACCCCTCCACGGCCCGCGAAACGGCGTCGGCGTCGAGAATATTCACCTCGTGCACCACCAGCCGCACGCTGGAGTGAGAGGCGGCCGGCAGGGAGAAGAGGTGGGAGGGATCGGAGCCCGGGAAGATAGCGGCGTGGATGGTGGCGTAGCCGCTGTCAAGCAGCGTCTTGACGAGCCACGAGCCGATGAAGCCGTTGGCGCCAGTGACACAGACGGCGGCTTGAGCTCTCTTGTCGTTCTCCATAATTGCACGAATTTCAGATCGAGGCTGATGCTGACCCAGCATTTGTAATTTTGTACAATGGATGGACGGTGCCACAATTTAGATTCACGTTTTATTTTTTATTTTTTATTTTTTTTTAATAGATTAACGTTAGGGTGTGTTTGGAAACCCGTCCATTCGTTGACTTTGAAAAACATGTTTTGAAGAAAAATGACTTTTTTTTTGAGAAGTCATTTTTCAACTTTTTCACCAATACTACACCACCACTATCACCACCAACACTCACCACCATAGCACCACCACCTCATTACCACCATCATATCACCACCACAACTGTCGCCACCCCCACCACCGCCGCTACTGCAACTGCAACCCACCGCCACCACACCAACACCACCACCGCCATACCACCACCAATTATTATTATTATTATTATTATTATTATTATTATTATTATTATTATTATAAAACAAATAACACCACTACCACTACACCACCACCACCACCACCACCACTACTATACCAATTATTATTATTATTATTATAATTATTATTATTATTATTATTTTGAATTACAAAACTTTGGTAAGTTATTTTGATATCTTATTAGCTATTTTTTATTATATTTAAAATTATTATTATTATTATTATTATTATTATTATATATTATTATACATGATATATTCTAAATAAAATAATTAAAATGTTTAATTATACAATTATACTCATTTTCTAGAAAATGAACCAAACATACCAAGACAGTTTTCCAGAATGCAACCGAACACTGGAAAGAAAAATATTTTCTGGAAAATGAGTTATTTTCCAAAAAACATTTTTCAAAAGTCATTTTCCTACTTCCAAACGGACCCAAGTTTAGAAAATTAATTTTTAGCTTATAGGCCTGTTTGGTAAAATAGTTAGTTTATAAATTAATTTTGACTTATTTAACAATTATTAATTGTTTGACTTGGTTAAAAATTAGCTTTTGTAATTTCAAAATGCTAAAATGCTTTTTGAGAAAAGAAATTATACCAAACAACTATCAGCTAATTTATCAAACACTTTTTTTAAAATAAACTAATATTATCAACTAATTATACCCTCTAATTAACCTAATCATTTAACATCTAACAACTATCAGCTAACGACAACCATTGGCCTATATGAATTCTATTAAAGAATGAAATAGGCAGGAATATGATTGAAAATTAATTTCATTGTTTAGTTCAAACAAGGAATTTATTTAGAAAATGATTTATAGTATTTGATTGAATTAAGCAATAGAAATATAATAAACATTTAAATGATAAAATATCCTTCACACTAATATATATATATATATATATGTATATAAAATATCCTTCACACTACTATATGTATATAATAATAATTAGTACTTACAACGTTTCATTTGTTTGTCTGAATCGATTAACGAGGTTTGATTGAAGTTATTTTTAATTCAATTTTTCATAATATATGACATAATCAATATTGTCTCTCACACAATTCGTAACAAATCTTTGATGTCCAAGACTATGTTTTTTTATTTACTTTTAAGAATGACCTAGACAACACATAAAACATAAAATGATGGTGGCACCCTTCAAAGGATTAAACAAAATATCCCCCATGAACAGCATGTTTTAGCACAACTCTAACTTTACACCCCACCCTGTTTGAAATTGTGCACCTCTTTTGCGTAGAACCACAAAGCTCATCATCAATAATAGCATTCTTAAACTCATCTTAGCTATAAACTAGATACTTAAAATCAACCACCACATCCCTATGTTTCTTAACAATGCTTTGCCTAACATCAAAACCCACGCCCACAATATATGTCTTATATAAAAACATATACCATTATCCAAATCGTTAAATTGTTACCCAACATATGGTTTAATTACACCATCACATTTTTTTTTTTTAGTATACTTTAATCTATCTATAGTATCTACTCAACAAATTATGCATGCACCATCACATTCTAGAAACCAATATTTCATTATTCCAAGAGATATCGCTAAATGACATCTATTTCCATCAACATTGAATGATACATCACAAATTTCATAACAGTTACCAACACCAAAATTAAGGGAAATATCTAATGGCCCTTAAAAGTACCCCAAGGAAGGTACAAATAGTTAACATGCAAGTGCATCAACAAACCACATATAATGTACTATCATACAAACATAGTGCATCCATTATACATTAATCATGCATTCAGAGCTTAATCTCTATCTACCCATAAAGCGAAGAAAGATGATCCAATATATTATGGATATAAGTGTAACTACATTTCCATCTCTATCAGATTATAGTATTGAAACAATGAGGATAAAAAAAATAAGGATTAATACGAACTAATAATTTTAATTAATCAGCAGACACAAAACAATAAGATCATAAAGAGCAAAATCAGAATTCATGAATAAACAATCCAAAACTTGCTACAATTACAAGATTGATTGAAGACAAGTACAACAAAAAATACATGAATTCGATTGAGAATGAGAAATCAAGCACTAAATTGCCGATCAAATGTAAAATTAAAAGATTTAAAAACTTCCTAAATTTAGGTAGGCATTTAATATATTTGTGGCATAAACGAGGAAATTCGGACCTCGGAAAATCGACATGCACTGCATACACTAATATTTTGGGACGTCAATTTGATTGAAACAAAGTGGTGTGCCGTTGAAAGAGAAATAGGGGCTGCCGACGGTAGCGAGGCCGTGGCCACAGAGACAGCTCAAAACTAACAGTACTGTCATTGGCGTTGGTCATCAAAAATCTGAACGCTGATACCAGATGAGAACAAAATTCTTGAAGATTAATTATAATAGGTTATGATGGCGGTATGAGATCCCGGGGGGCCCATTTTATTGGGAAAGTCGGCCAACCGCCCAAGTGAAGTGTCCATCTTTATGGGTAGGGTGTTGTCCCAATAAGAATAATGGAGTTCTATTGGACTAAGGAAAGAAGGGAGCTTGAAGCAAAATATTATAAGAATTATTACTAGGGGAATCAAACTCACAACCTCAAGCATAACAACTCAAGTTCCAAACACCAAGCCAATCAAGATCTTATGTATTAAAGGGCAGGAAGCGCCACTTATGCATGTGAGTGCGCTAGAGGCAAAGTAGTGGGGGACACATGTGTGGTCCAGAATGAAGGCTGCCATATGTCGTCCATTTGTCAACCATTCGTGAATCCCTCAACAATATAAATAGGCACCATTACCTCCTTATTAAAGGTACCATTGGTTCACCAAACCCCTCCTGGTCCATTGGTCTAATTCTTCAACCTCCTGTTAGCACACCAGGGTTTCAGTCCTATCAGCAAGGTTGCAGTAGGCGCTAGGCGCTAGTCGGGCGGCCGGGCAGCGCCTAGCGCCTAGGCGGTCTAGGCGGCGCCTAGGCGGATTCTAGGCGGCGCTAGGCGGGCACCAAAAAAATTAAAAAAAATAGTGACAGACTTGTAGTTCGACAATTTTAATGAGGTTGTTTTCAACGTTCACTCAAATAACACATCTAAATAAATGAAATAATGATAATTTATAAGTCATAATGTCATAATAATATTAAAATCAATAATTAATGAAAGACGACATCGGTCAAAATCAGACAAAATCGATCAAAATCGGTCAAAACGGTCAAAATCGGACGAAATCGGTCGACTCGGCCGAGTTGGCCGAGTTGACCGACTCGGCCGAGTTTGACCGCCCAGGCCGCCTAGCGGCCGCCCAGGCCGCCTAGGCGGCCGACCGAGTTTTGGCCGCCTATAGGCGAAAACTCCAAGGCAAGTGGCCGCCTAGCGCCTAGGCGGGCGCCTAGGCGGCTAGGCGGCCGAGTTTTACAACACTGCCTATCAGTAACATATTTAGCTTTATTTCATTTATTAGTTCCCTTATGTTTAGTTATCATTTTGGGCCCTATTACATTCCTTAGGGCTACAGTATTTATCATTTATTATTTATGTATTCTTTGGGCCGCCATTTTGGGACGGTATCTCGAGCTTTGTACGTACTATTTTGAGTTTAGCGCCTCGGGTAATAAACCTACTATTTTTTTACCCGGTTTATGGTGGATCTGGTCCCGATAAAACTACCATTGGCGCCGTCTGTGGGGATCACTACGAAAAGTATGCGTTCCTAGTTTCTACCCGTTGTTAGCAGCATATGGAAGAGTCATCATTCTTGAATACTCTGGCTAGGAAGATGGCTTTTAAGTAAACCTCGGTTTCACCATATGACCTGAGAGTGTTTCAAGAAGTTGGGTGTTGATCATGCAGGCTACTTGAAGTCGTAATTACCGACGTTTTTCATACTCTAAATTATGTCATACAAAAGTTGGTATTATTGACGAATATGTAATAAAATGTCGACAAAAGTATGCACGACGAAGTTTAAAAAAGGTCGTTAAATAGAGTTTTACTCACGCTTTATATTTTTTTATACATGTCATTAATGATAATGATTGGCGACAAAAATTGAGAAAGTGTTTTAAATGTATCAACTAAATATATATTTATTGATGTTTTATATGTTGTTATCTTTGTCATGTATTATGTTATTGGTGATGAATATTATGAAATTCTTCCAAAAGAATCTACTGTTAAATTCAAAATGCATCAATAAATATTATTTTTTTTGGTGGTTGTAAATATTTTTTTTTATATGTTATGCATGTATTAAAACTAACTACAAAATATATTAACACTAATATATAATTAATACATTTGATATGACTAGCATTAAAATATTGTAATATCGTATTAAATTACAAGGATATATATAGTTAAAACTAAATGTTCTAATAGATCTACTAATAACTACAATAATAGATATTAAAAAGAGCATTGAATTAGACTTGGGAATTGAAACTTTCAGGGCCCGTTTACTAACAGAAAATTAATACTCTGTTTTCGAAAACTGAAGTTGTAAACTTGTTTACCTGTACTTATTTTCGAAATCATATTCTCCATTTACTAAATTAAAAATGTACTACATACATATATTTATAAGTTATTTCGTTACAAATTAAAATGTCATTAGAAAACATATTAATTGCAATAATTTAAAATAAGTTGTTCGTGACGAGATGTGATTACAAAACATTGCAAATAAAATTGATTACACCATCAATGATTATAGGCTGCTGCTGCAACTCAAGTACAATTCACCTTTCAACTCCAGCTCACCATAACATCTCAGTTTCCAGAGATTGAGTTAGAGCATAGCAGAAGCTGCTGTGAATCCTTTTACAGAGCTTCCTCTACAACTTATTAGTATTCCAAAACTCTAGACCACCAAGTATGATGGCCCTCTTTATACCTCCATTCCATAAAATCAAGCCATCCCAAAACGTATATCAAAAATTAAAAATTCAAACAAGTACAGAAAGCCTCTTTTCTCTCTCTTTTTTTTTTTTTAATTTTTAATTTTTTTTAATGTAGCAGATGCAACATCCACCTAAAGGTCTCAGTCTACAACAGCAGAAGACTCATGGCTCCAGAGCCTCAGCAACCTCACGCAATCTCCAACCAATGAGCCCAACATTTCTCTTCAAATGTCTACCCAACAAACCCCCTTCTAAAGACCAAGCCAAGCAATTCATTAAAAGCAGAAACCAGTACAATCTGTTCTATTTTATGAATAGAACAATCTGCTGTCCTGATGTCCTATTGAGGGATAAACAATATGTTCTATTTTATGAATAGAACAAAATCTAGAAAAACAAGAAATAATCAACTCATACGCATAAGCTAATCAACGTCGGTGCACAATAGACAAACAAGTGTTAACCGTGAAAGAGAAATCAAAGTAGTGAATTGGCCGATGATGAACGAACCGCCGCGACGAGAGAGGGATTATAGAGGGAAATTCGTTGATGAGCCGGCAGTAGCACTACGCGGTGGACTTTGAGCTTGGCGGTGGTCTGTGGACTGTGAGACTGATGGTGGCGGATGGGTGTCAAACGGTGGTGTGTGAACTCCGGAGGTCGGCACCGACGACGGCTCCTCCTTAGGCAGCACCTCTCGTCGGATCCTCCTCAGGCAACACTTCTCTCTAACTCAGATCGGAAAATGAAATAAAGGGAGGAGTGGGTGTGAAGGTCTGAAAGAGAAGGAAAGGGAGGAATGGGTGTGAAGGTCTGAAAGAGAATGAAAGTAGATGGGTGGTAGGTGGTAGAGTAAAAGCTGCCATTATTCTCTGAAGAACAGGAGAAGAAAGAAGGAAATCTCGGAGAAGATACTGGTTGGAATCGATGAGTGGCTCTCTTTTCTAATATTACTGTTCACGTGTGTTGTTCTCCTTTTGAAAACAAATTTTTGGCGTGTTTCAGTTTTCTTGTTAAAATAGAGAACAGTTCTCTATTTTGAAAATAGGAAAAGAAATTGGTAAACAACTACATTATTTTCTATTTTCAATTTTAGGAAATTCTCAGAAATTTCCTGTTAGTAAACGCCCCCTTAAGTTCTGCATAAGCTAGCTGCATGTTCCTCTCACTGATAGAGAAAAACACAAGTTAATATGGCATTAACTACTTCATTAAGTAACAAAGAATCATTTAAATCTCTAATATTCATCAACCTTTTCAAGTAATAAATATATTAAGCACAAATGAATAATGTAAATAAATTGTTATAACAAGAAGATGATTCCAGTAATGAATAATATTCTTTGACATTTGAAATTTTATGATATCTAAGGGGAAAAAATCATACTTTGTCTATCATTCAACTACTGTGAACAAGTTCAAAACATATACCATTAAATTTAAACCTATACTCTAACTTGCATACAATCATCATAATTAAGTTCTTCTCCATATAATATAATATAAAAGTAAAATAATTTCAGAAAAATATCTATCATTTATAAATACTTTCAAATATATTTTGTTATCAAAGTAAGAAAACATACCCAAAATGCACTGTCCTAACAAGGTTTCAAAACATGAAGTCACATATATTAGTTAAGAAAGGCTGAAGTGTCATCCCGCACTCTCAACCAATTGCGGTTTTTCATGCCGCACCCTAACCTTTTATAACTGTTGTTTCGATCCACAAACTATTTTTTTTTTCATCTAGAACATTTCACGGGTTATCTACAGGTAACCGGTAATAATACGCTGAAATGGATTTTTATTTATTTTTTCTTGGTTCACGTCTTCCTCCTTCACCGCCCAGAACCTGTTTCGACTTCTTCGGCCTCGGCTTCTACTTCCTCGACGCCTCCTACATCCTCCACCTGTCTACCCTGTCTACGGACTCCGCCGTAGCCATCGCCGTGGAGACCAGCCTCCCCTTCAGCAGTCACAACATCGATCCTCCGTCTCGCACCGTAGAGATGGAGATCGCCTCCGACTCGCTGTACAAGGGGAAGTTTATTCGCGGATTCTGCCACCTCTACGACGGCTAGGAAGCCATCGCGGTAGGCATGAAGGCGGAGATTACCATAAAGGACTGCATTATTACAGCTTATAGGGACCACTGCACCTACCTCGCCTGCGGCGAAACGCTACTGGAAGCGTTTGCGGAGCTTTTGGGGAGAAAGGATGGGTGCTCGAAAGGGAAAGGAGATTCCACGCATTTCTATATGAAGGAGAATGGATTTTTCAGTTGCCATGGGATCGTAGGGGCTAAGGTTCCGCTACGTATTGTAGGTTCCTACATAATTCTGTTGAATATTGCAGGTTAAAACTCCTACACTCATGCTTTTAGGCGCTAAGGATCTTCGAGTACCAGTTTCCACGGGATTGCAAGTAAGGCCGCCTATACTGTTTTCTGTGTTGGCTTTTTGACTTGTACAGGATATTGTTGCTTCGTATTGTACATGCGCCCGCACACACATATACGCATGTGTATGTGAGTGATTTCGGCTCGGAGAAATGACCATGATAAATGTATATAATCTAATAATATAACTACATTTAGATGGAATTTACACTTCTCGATGGATGTTTCCTCACTCATGGGGGGATTATGTACACTTGCATTTATCAAATATTTGATCCAATATGTCATTCTCAAAGAGCGAGTGTGTCCTTTATTGATGCAGTATGCACGAACTTTGAAGGAAAAAGGAGTTGAGGTAAAGGTGATATTCTTCCCAGAAGACGTGCATGAGATTGAAAAGGTAAGCGTTCCTATATCTATCGACTAGCACTTGACTTGGTATTGCGGTATTGCCTAGTTCTGTTTAGTTATCTATGGATCTCTCTTGCAGACCACAGTCTGATTTCGAAAGCTTTCTAAATATTGGAGTGTGGTTTAAGAAGTACTGCACATAAACGAACGGAAGAATAAGGAGCCCAAGCCCAGTCAAGAGTCACCGGAAGAAGAAGGCCTGTCGCGACCGCCAAAAACGCACATCGGATGAGGTTTCCGATCGGTGTAGACTGAACAAGAGCGTGTGGGTTTTTTTTTTTTAAAAAAAAAAAATTAAAATGCTTACATGTACTTCTTTCTCATACTTTTTATTTTTAAATTAAAATCAATAAAGCCACATCAGTAAATACCGGTGCCATGTCATCAAGCAAACCAGAAAACCTGTGAAATGTTCTAGATGGAAAAAAATAATTAGTTTGTGGATCGAAACAGCAATTATAAAAGGTTAGGGTGCGCATGAAGAATTGTAATTGGTTGAGGGTGCGGGATGACACTTCAGCCATTAAGAAATTATCATAAGTAAATTAAAAAAAAAAAATACTCACTGAATCTTTTAAAATTCTTGTTAAAGTTGGTGAGAGCGCTAATAGCTCCTTTAGAAAAAAGTTGTGTACAAAAGATGCTCCACAACTCCTTTCAGTAATGGTACAAAAGATGCTCCAACTCCATTCACAAAATACTTTGGTTTGTTGTTGGCTCATTGTTCACATAGCTTTTAACTCCAAAAGTACAAATTATGCTCAGAATTATACCCTACCAAAGCCAATTAAAAAATAAAAAGTTATGAGTTGGTTTACTTCAACTTATCATAAGACCTTGTAATTCTAAAACTTATCAAAAAAAAAAAAACAAAAAACAAAAAACAAAACAAAACAAAACTTAAATTTGGTTGTGTACCTTACCTTGTAATTCACAAAAAAATAGTTACTAAGATCTATAATTTTACAATTTTTAAAGATGCATTCGAGTTATTATAAGAAGTTCAATTCAATAATTAATAATAGTAATTTAATAATATATATCGATACTAGCCTTGGGCAGATCTCTCTGCTGCTAATGCAGCAAGTAACTCTTCATACTTTTCATATCTTTCAAACTTCATCTTCAATTCTTGAACTTCATTCTTTAGTTGAGTGTTTTCTTCCATTGTTGCTTTCATTTTTTTCCTCAAGATGTGAATTGTTTGCTCGAGTTCATGTAGATGTCACTGGTTTTGGCCCATTTCCCATTCCTTTAACATATCTTGATCTTTTGCCCATTACAACATCATAAACCTGATCAATAGTCATTGGTTTCTTTCTACAACTGAAGTCTGAAGCATGTCCATCATTTTTTTCTGAAGAATTGACACATTCACTTAAATGAAAAAATATTATAAAATATTATAGATCATATAATAGTTGAAGACTAGTATTGCATAATGTTTCTAAAATCACGTGCATAGTTCTTCTCAGCTTCATTTGTAATCCACATGCTATTTTTACAGCGTTTGAACTTAAACAAAGCAATCCTATCAGGCAGAAAACAACCCTCTTCTTTTTTCTTCCTTGATTATGTGGCATTTTTTGTTGACCGCGACACCTAGAGTTTATCATGCATTTCACCTAGAATATTAAGCATCACAACTATATAAATATTTCTATCAATGCAAAAAGTAGAACCATATAACTTATGTTGAGGAAGAAAAAAACCTGTACATCCCCTTTATACCGATAATCGCATAGCTCATTCCAATGATCATATGTTAGACCTTTAGGAACATGTAACTTTGCCTTAGTTGCAGAGATATATTTCAAGAACTCTTTATGTAATGCATGCTTGTAGTTTCTATAGCGAACTTTCAGAATATTCTCCACACATTGAAAGACTCGAGAATCTTCTCGAAAGTTAACAATATCTAACCTCATCTACCAATAACAATGAAAAAAATTACTGTATAAAGTTTAGAAGTTTGGTACCTAAATAAATACTGCAAATAGTTTCTATATTAGCAAAAACAATGTTATTCAAATTTGAAAATTTTCAATCTTGTTAGGTACTTACAATAAATCATTCCCAAGCACAATTCTTTTCTTCCTCGGTAAATTTAGATTATTTTATTGGACATGGCATGTAATCTCTAACAATTTGGCCAAGTTCATTGGATAGCTTAGCCGATGCAATTCGATTTAAAGGACGTCCCTGCTCTGCATCAATAACAACTTGTAGTTTTTTCCTGGCAACCTCATTCCTCTTTACCAATCCAATCCCTCTTGTCGGTCCTCTACATGGATTCTTTTTCGATAACCCACCATCTAAAAAGTAAGTGCGAAATAAAAAAAAAATAATGTTTACAACATTATAGTGTTAGGAAGTATAATATGTTTCTATTGATATCATTGCATTTCTTATTTTAAAATTCTTTAACCTGTGTTTGGTGTTGCATCTGGTGATAAAGAGGATGTCATGCTTTGATTTAGTTGATCTATAGATTGGGAATGATTCACTTCAGGATTAGATCATGGAAGAGAAGTTGTAGAACAAATCACCCCAGTATTAGTGGTGAGTGAAATCCTATTAGTGACTTCAACATTTGATGATGAAAACCTGTCGCGTTTTTTTGATTGACCTGGTGCCCATTTCACAACTTGTAGAAGTGTGAGAAAAAAGTAATTAGGTAAATTAATAGTTTGTTATTTTTTAATATGCCAATTCATACTATAGTTACTATTTAATTAATATACTTTAAGAAAACAATTAAGCAATTCACTCATGAATCTTCAGTTTCATCATCAGAATCGTCATTCATTTCTTCATCATTACTATCATACTCAATAGGAGATTCATCTTCATCATCTGATATTACAAAATTTCTTTCTGTTTCAATTCTTTTGGATTGCACAACAATAGCTTCCACAATCTCTAATTCAACACATACTATATGCAAGGATGTAGTAATGTCATCCGATATTTCCACAGCTATGCCATTACTAGATACCATCTCATTGTCTCGATAAACATCATTATTATCAAGTGTGTCATCTTTATCCTCTGGTATATATACTATCAATCTCATTTTCATCATAAATATGTCTGTTGGTTTTAGGGTTTTTGGGCCCAAGGAGGTCCAATACAACCTTAGTCGGTGGATACACCTTTCACATGCGGCTTATAGAAAAATAAGTAAAACAAGTATAACTCAATGCTTTTTGTACGTGGAAACCGAAAGGAAAACCACAGGCCTTTTTGGGCGGTGACAAGCCTAACTCCACTATGCATTTTGTAGGTGTCTTTGTACATATTGTAGAGCTATTTTGTACATGTAGTATGAAAATATCGTGTAGGGAAAGAGCTATACTTTGTATATAGAGATGGAGTATGCTTCTTTGTGGTAGAATGGAGTCTTCTTGATAGTCTTGTTGTTGTGTATGTGAATTGCCTTCTCTTGGGAGAGTGGTGTAGGAAGAGTGCTTGTATGTATGAATGAATGATATGTCTTCTTAGAGGAGAAAGAATAGTGAGTGGGAGAATAGTACTTGGGAGAGTCCTCTCACATGTAGATGAATGAATGGAGTCTTCCTTGAGAGAGTGTTTATAGAAGAGTGATATGTGGCCTCTCCGTATGTAAGAATGGTTGTCCCCCACCTCTTGCTCCTTTCCTCCTTTTATAGCAACAAGTTCAAAAATATGGCCGTTGGGTCATTAACAGGGATTTATTAGGCTTTATGGGTGAGTTTTGGAGGTTATAAGGAGTAGTAACTTAGGTAATTAATGGGGTAGTCAATGGAAATAATATGTTGTAAACGTTGGGTGGTTAATGGGGAAATGATGGGTAGTGATAGGTGGTTTAGTAGGGTAACGGCTACTTGGCCTTGTGGGTGAATAGGGTAATAATTAGGAGTTTGATATAGGTTAACAGCTAGTTTAGGCCGACTTTCTACCCGTGTCGATCCCACACCCGCGCCGACTCCCGGGTCGAGCCGATTCCTCGGTTTACTCCATTTTCCTCTTTGGCTTCTCTTTTCTTTTTGGGCTTGATCTCTATTCTTCTTGGGCCCCGAGCCCACGGGGTTGTAACACCCCAGATTTTCAAGACATTTAAAACTTATAAAATAAAGGTGAAATCTCATTAAATCCCAAAACATAATACAAGAGTACGGGGTGCTATGCCACACCTGAGCTAGAGAACTCAGGTGCACAGGCTAACTAACTAATATCCTCAATAATGTAAATGCATAAGCATGGCACGCAGGCCGAAAGGGAAACTATCTACTTCTACGCTCCAAGTTCTAGTGCGCTCTAGTGACTTATTCTTCTGTGCCTGAAAGCCAAATATATCTGTTCAGCGAGAGATGCTGGTAACCCACTCCAACACGTTGAAATACAATACATATAGTTATATACATAGATATACGAAATGTCATTTCGAAGCATGAAGATTTATCCTAAGAGACTCTAGCTTTCAAATCAGGGAACCGACTCGACAAATAGGGGTACACACAATCAACAGTCATAATCAAGAATATACAATTCTCACATAGGGCACAGTTATAGATAAGCACAACCAATAATCACAATTAAGCATTACTAGCAAGAGCCTTATGGTCATGTTTCCATAACAGTCATATCATCAATTCTTCTCATCTCATCACATAGCACACTTTGTTGGCGCCACAGGACCAATCGCATGCCTATACATGAGGGTCAGCGCATATAGCTCTGACACGGCCCCGCAGCACCCTGCCCCGTCTCACAATACGGAGGGGTCGATCGCAACCGACCGATGAGCCGCAGCTCTATATAATATTTATATACCTGACTGGTCTTTACCAGCCTGGTTAACAGTTGCGATGGTTCTCAACCCATTCAACTGCCCGTATAGTGGACCTTTGTCCTCTATAATATTTATATACCTGACCGGTCTCTACCAGCCTGGTTAACAGTTGGGATGGTTCTCAACCCATTCAACTGCCTGTATAGTGGACCTCAGTCCTATATAATATTTATATACCTGACCGGTCTCTACCAGCCTGGTTAACAGTTGGGATGGTTCTCAACCCATCCAACTGCCCGTACAGTGGACCTCAGTCCTATATAATATTTATATACCTGACCGGTCTCTACTAGCCCGGTTAACAGCCGGTATGGTTCTCAACCCACCCGACTGCCCGTATAGCACGATTGATCTCAACCAAATCGGGGTAACATGCACACATAACACATAGCAAGCACATGCAACCCACATTAACACATTGGGAAGGGGGAGAAAACGTATTACAAAACCTATGCGTGATCCTTCACATACTAAGAATATTCCTAAGGGGTTCATACTTCTTTCACCTAGGTCAACGGGATACCAATTCAACAAGCATGCAATATATAAGACTCATACGACCTACGAACGGTACCCGAAAATCAAACTAGACATAGACACGATAGACGGAGTCTGTTGGGACACCACGGGGGTCGGGGGAACATCAAACGGGGAAGCTGGGGTACAAACCAGCGGGTAGCTGGTGGGTGAGGGGTCACCCGCCGGCTGCCCGCCGGCGTTTTACTATTCCGGGCAGCGGGTGCTCGGCAGGCAGTTGCCCGCCCGCCGGCTGCCTGCTGCCGGCGTTGCCCGACTAGGCCGCGGGTAGGTGGCGGGTCCCCTACCCCCCACTGACTCTTTTTCACCAAAAATGCCCCGGGAACCTTTGTGGAACCCGAAACCATGCTTAGACACTTTCAAACGCAATTGATAACGCACGTAGACAATTAACGGATCAAAATCAAGAAACATACGACACATAACCTATCATGCTTTTCTAAACATAATCAACACCCAATCATGTGAATTCCCACCCAATATACCAAGAATAATATCATACGAATTCCACGACATAACCTAGGGTTCTATTTTTAAATCAACAAGAACACAATTCATCTTCCAAAATCAAGATTCGGTAGGAATAACCTATGACTATCAAGAACCTCATATAATCACTAAGAACATCAAGAACACCATATAATTATCAAGAACGTTATATAATCATCAATAACACCATAATTATCAAGAACCTCTCATTATCAAGATCACCCATGGAGTCATCCCACCAATCATCAATAATAATATCACAAATCATCAATACACAATAATATGGGGAAATCCTAAGAGGGGAATCATAGCTATGAAAATAGGTTTTGTTGAGACATGGGTTACCTCTTAGCCTTAATTAATTCCTTGGCTATGAAGGGTCTTTCTTTAAGCTTTCTTGCTTTCTTGATTTCTTCTAAGGGAATTCTTGGAGCTCTTTGGGTGGTGAGAGATTATTGTGGTGGGAGTTCTAGGTGCCTCCTTATGTTCCCTATTTATATATTTAAGAGTCTTACTTAGGGCCTAATTACCATAGGTTTGCTAACTCGATTCCTTTTAGGACTAAGGATTGGGTTTAGAGATGAGGGTCCACGGACTATGGTGGGCCTTTATCCTAATTAATTTCTGTAATTTAATTCTTTCTTTTGGGTTATTGGTTAAATGATTAATTGGTTTTAGGGATCGTAACACGGGGTGTTACACTCTCCCCCCCTTACGAGGGGCTTCGTCCCCGAAGCCCGGTGTGTTAATCCATTCTTTCACCCCTAGGCATCCCGCATCTTGGCCTCCCGGTTAGGAATGTGGCCCCACATTTTGCCTTAGCTGGAGTAGACTGGATTTCTGGTGGTGTTGTGATAGAAGGGTTTTGGGTCTACCTCGGTCCCCTGCTCCTGAGCTGGACGCCTCGCGAGTGCCCAAGGTGGCCTCGATTGCTGCCACCCTCTGATCTAGTGCGCGTGTCGTACGGATCAAGGATGAGAACCCTTCCTCCATGATTTGGTTTTGCCGGTTGAGCTGTGCGAGTATGCGTTCATTGATTGAGCCCTCGTTTTGCTCCCTTGGGTTCCCTCCTGATCGTGGTTGCACCGACGGGTTGGATTCGTCATCCTCCTCCTGGTCCTCATTTCCCTCCAGGATTCCGCAATCTTGCATTGCCCGTTTGAGCTTCTTGTTGGAGATGTCTAATTGGTCGACCAATTCTCTTCGTTCATCCTCGGGTTTTTGGCAAATTTCTTCGAGGGTGAGGTAATGTCCTCCCTCGGTGTAGTAGATATCATTGCGGCGTAGGTTCTGGGCGTTAAAGACCATGCCATTTGCGGTCTTGACCTCGGTGTGGCTTAGGTCCACCCCCTTTCTCTCCATGATCCAACTTAGGATCATCCCGTAGGGTAGGCTAAGTCGGTTGCTTGATTTGCAAAACTCCATGTGTTTTAGCATGAGGGCCGGTAGGTTGAACTTGATTTTGTGTTTCAAGAAGTAGGCAAAGGTGCACTCTAAACTTCCTACGTCTTTGCTTTTATTATTGGTGGGCAAGAGGCTATCGGTTACAATCATAACCAATATCTTTTGCTCCGCCGATAGCCACTTCCGGTTGGGTCGCGTGGCCGAGGTGAACCCGTCCTCTTTCCCGAGTAGGTACCAGAGATAGTCCTTGTACCCCGTGTTTTGGGTATCGATCCACCCCTTTCGATCGTAGTTTGACACACCCGTGGTGGTCAATTTCAAGAGCTTGGCCAAACGGCCTTCGGAAAGCACCATTTCCTTGCCGCGGACCTTGTTGGTGATTTCTAGTTTGTCAC